GTTCTATTTCAAACTTTATTTGACTTGATGCACACATAAAACACAATGAATGTAAATGATAAAAAATATATGAGATATGTATCTCTTCTTTATTTCAGTTATAATGTTTGTTGGGGAAACTAATTATTATGCAAACAAAATTATGCAAATAAGATGTATTGTTATGTAAATTAGCCGCGATGCTTGGCTTAGAGTCTGGGGAGACTGTAGTGTGGATTGCCATCTGCCATTGTGGGTTGTTTGCCAGTGTGGATTGTCGTCTGCAAGTGTGGATTGTCGTCTGCAAGTGTGGATTGTCGTCTGCAAGTGTGGGTTGTAGTCTGCTAGTGTGGGTTGTTTGCCAGTGTGAATTGTAGTCTGCTAGTGTGGATTGTCGTCTGCAAGTATGGGTTGTAGTATGTAGTTGTGAGTAAATTAATACAATTTAATACGACATCATTTGACCTTACTCGCACTTTATTTTCTCAGATAACTATCAAGATCAATTTTTAAATATAATGCAGTACTTCAGACCAGCCATGTACTCCGGTTATGAAGACAACAAAAAGGTAAAAGTCATTTAAACTGATTAGTAGTTTTAGTAAAACACAGTCCTGCTTTGTATCAAGAGTGTTCGAAAACATGTCAAATTTTTTTTTGAAGCAAGTTAATTATTTATCAATATCAATAACTTAGTTTTCTCCATCTATGGGTGAACAGTAATTGTAGCATTGGTGGCTAGTACTAAATATCCATCTATGTCACCAAAATAACAACAACATTATAAGATCAAAAAATTAGGGGAAGTCCTGCAGGGTAGACAGTCAGAAATTAAGTGGCACTGACAGTATCAACATGCATCATTGACTTTTAAATAGTCTCATTAAATATTGGAATTTCCTATTGATATGAAATATAAATGTAATTTTATAAGGGACGACGTCAAAAGATCGATGTCGGATAAAAAACTTATTTCCTTTAGTTTGGGGGTGGGGGGTTTTGACGTCAAAAAGTTTCCATCCTACAAAAACGATTTTATTTTTTAATGAAGTCAAAAAAATCTTGGAGTATTTGTAGTTCTATCCAATCATGGACAGAAATAACCGAAAAGGGAAAAAAACAGAAAAATGGTTTGGTTCGAGTGAAAATCTGTGCGTCAAATGAGGTGCATTTGTAAACTCTCTTTACACCCACCCGACAACCAACTGCTATGCAATACTACTGTCCGATTATCAATTTGTATTTAATAGTGAATGCAGTCTGACTCCATGACCAATATTTATCAATTAAGTTTCAGTGGGGGGTAGGGGGGTTTGGAAAAAAACTAAAGGAATTAAGTTTTTTATCCGACATCGATCTTTTGACGTCGTCCCTAAATAACAACCAAATCAAATCATGAAAAGATAAATTTCCCACTTTGAAAATGTTAAATTTGATTAAAAATGATGAATAAAATCATTCTAAAACATGCTCACTAGCTGCAATCTACTTCCATGTGAGGCTGTACTATGCCACATACACCATGTCATGAACACATGTTGTAAGTATTTCATTGCAAGAGCATACACAATGGAGAGAAAAGATGTCAAAAATCTGTGTGTTTAAGTTGCCAGGCAAAACATCATACAGGTATTTAGCATTTCCAAAAACATTTAGGAAGCCTGAATGTAAATAAATGCCACCCCTAGTTAATCCTAAGATATACGTATGTGACTCCAAAATATAAAGACAGCAAAACATACTTTCAAACTTTTTTGTGGGTTCAGGTTACCACACTACCAAGCACACTGAACAGAACTTCAATACATTCATTAGTTACTTACAATGTACAAATTAGTGTTACAAAAGATTGTGTCACATTAACCATTTCATACACAGATGCAAGGAACACATAATTTATATAAACATTTAATATGAAGAGAATGATTAAATGGTGGAAACGCATTGAATGGTAGCCTTAATTATCTTTATGAAAATAACATGATAAGGCTTACTGTGCAGTGTACGTGTTGTCTCCTAGTATGACATGCATATCAGGTATCAGACAGTCATTGTTATTGCCACCAAGCCAAGCATAGACAACTACATTCTTATATGCCATGAATTAGGTTAACTGTTCAAATAGCAAACTGACATTAATAGGAACACATAGCAAATGGTATGAAACTAATTTAATATCTTCTATTCAGGGATTTTATAACGTCTACAGACAAGTTTTCCAGACGATAGCACAAGAAGACGCAGGATTTAAAGATCCTGGACAGGATTTGTCATTTTATGAGTGCCCTGAGTTTGGGAATGCACATAGTGATTACAATGAGGTAAGTTTAACTAAGCAGTGACTATGGTAACATTTAAATGATAAATACATGTAATTTTAATACTCAGAAATTTACACTAGCTGTAATGTGGGAGGTCACATCAAAGATAATTTTGTTTCAATTTGAAGAAGTCCCATAAAGTATTCTTAATATTACAAAATTATGAAAATAATAAAATATATTGCTAGAGAAAATTGTTGAGATTTTTCCCCCTCCTTTATTTCTCCTTTTGTGAGTTTCCCTCCGAAAAAAAAAATTGTTGAACACCAAATTATATAACTGAATTTAACTTTGCTGTCGTAAATAAAAGGTGACTTATGATTTAAATGATAACGCAAATTGTGTAATGTGTGCTTCTTGTGTATTTGCATCTCCCTCTCCTAAAAACATGAATTTCTGTAATCTAATTTGTTTGTTTTTTCACCCTTGTTCACATGAAGATTATAAAGCCATTCTACAACTACTGGTTGAATTATGTCACTCCTAAATCCTATGTATGGCTTGAAAAATACGACACAAGAGAAGCTGAAAACAGACGAGTTGCAAAACTCATGGAGAAAGAAAATAAAAAGCTGCGAGATGCAGCAAAAAAGAACTACAACGAGCAAGTCAGGGTATGTATATTAATTCATTTCCAACTCCAGAGGGCACTAGACTTTAATGGAGGGTGCTGCCACTAGTTCATAATATGAACTGTAGTTTTTAATGCGTACAAAATATAATGTGGGTATTGTGAATATCATATAAGATTATGTCATAATTTAATGTGTTGCAATCATAATATGTCATGTTTCCATAGCGATAAACACATAAAATACATTGTACACACCAAATATGAATATGGCCATTGGGATGAATGAGGTGATTTCAATACTTTAAATAAATACTTTAATAAAATACTTTATTTTCAGGTGGAACTAGTTTTCGCTGAAGGAATGATTCAGTAAAAATAAAATCAAGCAAATATAACTTTTTTCCTGTATTTTTCATTCAACTCGTTAGAAATCAGTGAAAGTAAATTCCATAAAACACTGAAAAAGTCTTTCACTGAAAATTAATTCCAGCTAAAATAAAGTATTTTTACAGTAAAAGAATTATTATCTAACTATTTTTTTCTTTGTTTTGACAGGATTTGGCAGCTTATGTGAGAAAAAGAGATAAACGAGTTCAACAGTATCAGGTAAAACTGACATGTATTCAATATATAACCTTTCTCATAGAATGTAACTGATTTGTCAAAGCAACTATACATACTGTTGTTAGCAATGATAAAAATCAAGTAAAAGTGGTCATGAACGATCACATCGATAAAAAGTATGTTTGACTTTGTGATTAGACACCACAAACTTGTCACAGTCTAGTGTCAGTGATCAAATATTTCAGGATTTTTTGCCAAACCCTAAAGAAAGGTTTATGGTCATACCCACTCATTTTATCATTTTTATAATTTTTCATAGTGATCACTGTATTCAGTATGAAGTGTTTGTAGTAATACAAATGACTTACAGTAATACAAACTGTTTGTAGTAATACAAATGACTTACAGTAATACAAACTGTTTACAGTAATACAAATGATTTACAGTAATACAAACTGTTTACAGTAATACAAATGATTTACAGTAATACAAACTGTTTACAGTAATACAAATGATTTACAGTAACACAATTGATTTACAGTAATACAAACTGTTTACAGTAATAAAAATGATTTACAGTAATACAAACTGTTTACAGTAATACAAACTGTTTACAGTAATACAAACTGTTTACAGTAATACAAATGATTTACAGTAATACAAACTTTTTACAGTAATACAATTGATTTACAGTAATACAATTGATTTACAGTAATAACAACTTTTTACAGTAACACAATTGATTTACAGTAATACAAACTGTTTATAGTAATACAATTGATTTACAGTAATACAAACTGTTTATAGTAATACAATTGATTTACAGTAATACAAACTGTTTACAGTAATACAAACTATTTACAGTAATACAATTGATTTACAGTAATACAAACTGTTTACAGTAATACAAATATTTTGGTCATTTTTGTTCAAAAATGCTTTTTTCGACTTCTTCTTGAAAACCACAAGTCCAATTGCTTTGATATTACATATATAGGTACTACATGTGGACCTCTCTCAGATTTGTTCATTTCGTGATGATATCTTTAATTCTCTAATTTTCAGGAATATTTTTGGTAAAAAGTGATATTTTCGACTTCTTGTTAAAAACCGCAAGTCTAATTGCTTTGATATTATATATACTACATAGGCATACAGATAGACCTCTCTCAGATTTGTTCATTTCGTGATGATTATGTTCTTCAATTATCTTCAATAATTTTAATGAATATTTTTGATGAAAAGTTATAAAAAGTCTGATTGCTTTACTACTATACATATTGTTCATTTTCGAATGATATCTTCTGTTCTTTAATTGCAATGTGCATTGATAACAGCGGAGCTATCTCAGCCGACAGGCTGCTAGTAGTAATACAAACTGTTTATAGTAATGCAAATGATTTACAGTAATACAAAAAATATGCAGTAATACAAATGATTTACAGTAATACAAAAAATATGCAGTAATACAAATGATTTACAGTAATACAAAACATATGCAGTAATGCAAATGATTTACAGTAATACAAAAAATATGCAGTAATATTATTAATTTATAGTAATACAAATGATTTACAGTGTTACAAACATGTGACGTACAGACATTTGGTTGTGGTGTATTATATGATTGGGATCATCTGAACAATAACATTACTTCACTTTGAAGGTTTTAGTCTCTCATTGTTTTTGAAATTCACAGATGCTGCAGAAGATGAAAGTAGAAGAACGACAAAAACAATTTGAAGCCAGAAGAGAAAAAGATAAAGTAGAAAAAATGAAGTAAGTAATATGGTAACATACATGTAGCTGAATCGACATTTTCCTGAAAGGCGGTCAAATCTGAAAATAAAAGCGACATTTACTTGACTCTCAGAACCAGTAAAACTGTATATCACATTATGTTATCAGAGAGCTTGAAAACTTTGTGGAGCAAGAGTGGACATCATTTACCGAGTTGGAGAAAGATCTTGCCATGTTGGAAACGCATCTAGATGGTGAATTTGGTGATGAGGAGGCGAGAGCTGGTAAGTGATTTGAATCACATCAATTGACCAATTTTTAAAAACTGACAACTCTTTAATATACTATAAGAGGATACTGACATGTGTCAAAAAAAATAATCAATGAATTTGTATGTAAGCTATGGCTTTGTAATTGTATTGTTTGTGGCATTAATGAAGACTAAATTTCAGGGTAGTTGCTATAATTCTATATTGACAAAACCAGTTTTATGTTTTTTGGCATGTCATTTATAATGTTTCTTCTTCTCTGGAACAACATCACCTCCCTGATAGCAATGCACTGACTGTCATTTATTTCTGTTTTTTTGTGTGTAGAATCTGATAATTCAAATAGTGAGGAAGAATATTATGAAAACTTGCATTGTATTGCATGTAACAGGGTGTTTACAAGCGATAAAGCGTAAGTAATTTCTCACCTCCACTGAGAACAAAATCTGGAGAAATATCCATACATATGTTTAACCTCTAGAGGGTGCTGTGGTTTAAAAGCTCATCAATTCCATTTTTTAATATGAACAATGTAGGCATTTACCATGCATTCAGTCTAACTACTTAATATTAAAATATCAGGAGTAAATGTCAGGATATGTACATTACACATTTTATGCATGTTTGAACAGTGCGTAGAATTGTGTTATGTACCATGATGAGGGAATTTTAGACTGGATACTAACAATTATTATACATCAGTCACAGTAACGCCATAAGTTACAGCGTAATTTTGCAGTATTTTACGAGGTATTTTCATCCTACAATTTAAGGAAATGTGAATTCCAAATGGAATGATTACGCACATACCGGTAAGCGTCCTCTAATAATAAAAAAGTTTGCTGATTCTGCTCTAAACTTTTCGGATTTCGGCATTCCAATGCTGTATCGTTGGAATAAAAAGATGTATAAAAATATGGTTACTACGAGGATGCCTCAAAGTATGCACTCAGACAGTACACTGCGCATCGAACTCCGCTGCGTGTCGGTCGATACTCCCGCTGTACTGTCTTTGTGCATACTTTGAGATATCCTCGTAATGACCTCATATTATCATATATCCACACACTTAGATATCATGCCTAATTAGCATATTATTCTATCACTCGTATCAACCAGCTTTACGAACAAGTGATATCATATGATAACCTCATAATATTATTAATAAAAGTCTTTGTTGTTTTGTTTGTCAGTTTTGAAAACCATGAGCGCTCCAAAAAGCACAAGAAAAATGTAGCATTATTGAAAGAGGAGATGGCACGTGATGAAATGGAGCATCCAATGGAAGAGGAGAAAGAGGATGTTGTGGAGGAAGATGACATTGAGGGTGAAGATAATGCAGATGATTATTTACTAGGATTACAAGATGACAGACCAAAGTCTAAGTAAGGGCTTGTCTTTTCTTCAATTAAGCTTTTATTAGTCTCTGTAATTTGGTCTGTCCATGGATTCCGTCCATGTCCCTGTTTGTGCCTGTGTGTGTGCGTCCAGACCTATTTCTCATGCCTGCTTTGATGGATCATACTCAAACTTAACACAAAGACCAAGTATAAGAACTTATATATGCTTGTCAATTTTCCTTACTACATGTATTTGATGAAAAATGGCTGACTGGCAGCCATTTTGATTCTCAAATTTGCTAAATACTGATACTTGAAGGTGTCCAGAAATGTTTCTTGGAGATAAACTGAGAGATTTCATTCAAACTTTGTATGAGGATCATGCATATTGGATTACAGATGCATGCCATATTTTTATCAAGATTGAAGAACAATTGATTCAGTTTAAAGTAGCAAGGGGGAAAAACGAATAATAGTTTAATTGTGATTAGAACTTTCCCCCACCCACGATTAAGCGTTATGGCAATGTGCATGTTTTTCAAAAATCTGAGTATGTAAATGTTTACATGTTTACCCATAGCTAGGTTCATGGAAATAAACAGAAATTACACATCAAGTGCATCGTGTACAGTAAATTTTGACTAAGGATAAAGTACACATTATAGTTCTACATAATCCAATTTTTCGGGGGGGAAATGTATTTTTTTCTTGTTTCCCCTTCTCTTGCTACCTTAAAGTGTGCACACATGTATTATACTCCTAGGATATTCTTGTATGTTTTGTGATTTGATAACATTTTTTCAAATTAATGACCACAGTCTCTCTATCAAAGGGAGATAGAGGGACTGTGTAATGACCAAGGAGCTGGATCTATCAAACAGGGTTCTTGTAACAACTCAAATCACTTTCAATTTAAATCACCAGATTTGATCATTATATATCATGTCATAGTTTTACTGATAAAAACATGTGATTTCAAATTCAATTTCCCATAGAAACCAACACAGCATGTGACTTTGTGTTCCATTTCCCAAAGAAATGCATCAGAGCACACACTGTTTTTATTGATTTCCTCGACAGTAAATATACTGTAGGTTTATTCTGCTAAGTGTAATGGTGAAATGACAACTGAGTTAATGAAATTTGGCTAGCAAAGGTATGATGGTAGAATTAAATGAACCTTGGTCAGAGATGTTAAAATATGTCTCTAATTTATACATTTATTCAGAAAGCTTTTGGAACATAATTTAATTGGAATATATAAGAAGTAAAACAAAATGGTAATTTACTGTGTTTTTAGATTCCATCAATGTTCTTTTTCATTCACAGACTTTCTAAGAAACAGAAAAAAAGACAACGGCAGCAGCAACAACTGGGTGATATGTATGATGAAATTACTGTAAGTGAAATGGTGTATGACATGTGACAACTAATAACTTATGCGAGACATTTAAAGTAGATTTAAATCTCATAGTGATGTGCCATGCCAAACAAAAAAAATCATGATAAGTTGCAAAAGGTCTTGTTGAATTTTCTCACTTTCAATCACATTTATCTGACCAGTACATTTTGCAGCTTCTGTGATGTCAGTAAGATCCGTTTGTCAGACTTATCAGACTTCACTTATCTGCCCTTGCTTTGAATTGTTTACTAATAGCCACTTTGCATATTTCATTTTAGGAGGAGAATGTAGAAGCAGATGATGTTGGAGAGGTCACTGACCTTATTGATAGTGCCTTGAACATTGATGACATGCCAAGTGACCCAGTCAATCTTGAAATCAATGATGCAGAGCCTTGTTCTGAATCAACAACAGCGCCCTCACAAGACAAAATAAGGTACTTGTAACCTTATTAGACTTGTTAATGTACTATACTTTAACACAATTTTATTTTCTCTATATTCAAAATTATATTTCCAAAATGTCAGGCATTCTTCAATCATTTGATATTTCCAAAATGGCGGGCATTCTTCAATCATTTAATATTTTCAAAATGGCGGGCATTCCTTCAATTATTCGTTTTTTCCAAAATGGCAGGCATCCTTCAATTATTCGTTTTTGTCCCAAATGGCGGGCATTCTTCAATCATTTGATATTTTCAAAATGGCGGGCATTCCTTTAATTATTCGTTTTTCCCAAAATGGCGGGCATTCTTCAATTATTCGTTTTTTCCAAAATTCACCAACAATGTTTCTTTTTCACATAGATCCACAAAACAAAAAAAGAAAAACAAGAAAGGTGGCTCAACTCAACAAAATCAAACATCATCGGTACGTATTTAGGACATATTTAAGAATGAGATTAATGTTCCTTTTTCATTAATTTCAATCATATATTTCATTCTAGAAAGCTTATCAAAAAAATGGGACAATACATATATTATGTGCAAGAATCATTTGTAACCAACAGTCGGTTATGATGGTGCTTATATTATTTTGAATTCTTTTAATAAGTTTAGCTCAATAATTTGCATAATCAATCTGTTTATGCCATTAATTACATATTTTCAAATAAAAACAGTTGAATCAGTTGATCAATTTTCTGTACAAAATGTAATGTAAAGACTGAGATGACTTCAAGGTACAATGTATGACCACATTTGTCAAATGACCTCATTAATTATGCAAAGTGTAAATAAAGTCAGCAAAGCTTTATCATTTTTGGAGTCATTTTTCACATGAAATTGTAGATTCAGAAAAACTAAATTTTGACCCAAAATTGCTTATGAACATGGGTCTCATCTTAAATTAAGTTGATAACAATTTTATATAGAAGATAGTTCTGTTTCCACCCTAGAAAAACCCTCCAGTTCCTTTCCCAGATTTACGTCTGTCTGTCTGTCCTACTGACAGCATTCTGATATTTAATTTGTTTATTTTTAGGGAGGATCTGTTGGTCAGTCTATCAGAATATGCAATGTTTGTTCTGCCGAGTTTGGAACTCGTAATAAACTATTTGATCACATCAAGCAAACCGGCCATGCACTGCGTGTAGACGGCAGTCAATCAAATAATTTAAAACAAGACACAGTGAAAAAGAAAAAGAAAGGCAGCAAGAGATGACAACCTGGGGAGATGTTTTTTATATTTATTGAATTTATTTTATAGTATGCAACAGTTGTCTGGATTCGTTGTCATTATCTATACACTGTGAACTAAAAGTGAATGGACATGTACATGTATGTATAGTGTCATAGCGTTGGGAGATCATACTCTTGGATGTAACTCAATGCCAGTGAGATATCTGGAGCTATCAGATTTCCATGAAGTCCAATAGTTACAGAATGTGATAAACCTGGTCCTCATTGACAGACCTGTAGAGTTAATATATCACAATGGAAAACAATGACTTCTGTCATGGAGCTAAAAGAAAACTGAGCAATTACTTGGGTCAAACCCTGGATTGAATTAAGCCTCCCAATAAAAGTATCATTTGAAAAGGTTACATTAAATAATACTGTATTAAAATGTTTACATCCCTAAAATGCCAGACTGCATGATATTGTGCAAAAACAAAGACAAGCTTTTAAATTAATATATTTCACCAGTGTGTCACGCCTATGATTGCGATTGGATGAGAGGTCTTAATTTATGCAAGATGGTCTGAAATACCTGATATAACACAGCAAGGGTTATACCACTTTCACAACGGAAATCACCGAAAAATATTACTCTGTGCCAAGAACATTACAACCATCAAGTATTTTGGGTTTAAAAGAAAAAGGACAAGAAAAATAATTTTACAGAATTGAGCAAACCATGCCAAAAAATTAATTTCCATCTGCAGTTACTCACTTGATTTTGACCAGTTCATTCCATATACTGTAAAGAGGTTAATTATTCACTGGGTTTTAATTTTGCTAATTTAGCTGACTGGAAAATGTGCTAAATTAAAACCCAATGAATATGTAAAATTTAGCATAGAAGATATTATCTAAATGATAAAACCGTGAATTTAAAACCCACTGAATATGCTTGAAATGATAAATCAGCGAAATTTAAACCCAGTGAAAATTAGTCATTTTACAGTACACACTTGTGTTTTATATGTCACGGAACTGGTCAAAATCTTGTTGTATATTCACTCCTGAGGGTGGTTATTCCTTAAACAATAATAAACCTGCTAATTCAAAATAAACAACTGAAATTGTTACCTTAAATTTTGGCCAAGATGAACAAAAATGCTGCCCAACAAATTAGGGCAATGATAGGAAGAGGGAGATTGTCATAAATTGTCGTTGCAGTGCAAATTGAATTGATCTTTAGTGCAAACAATAATTTATTGGCTATCCCTTCCTGACTGGATCAGACCAATATTTACCAGATACTGTATCAAAACAGAGCAAGACCAACTAAAAAATCTTCCAAACATGCACGCTTCATTTGACATATCATCACTGTGTAATGTAAAATTTCAATAAAAGAAGTGCTATTTTTATTTGTCTTGTTTGTTTATGTAGTTTTATCACCCAAGTTGTAATGATGAATAAACTGTGCAAATGAACACACTGTCAATCACCACAAATATCGAACCAGAACACGTTTCATTCACTGTATACAGTGAAACACATTATCAACAGAACATTTTGGGAAAACAATTGCACTGTTAATGCATTAATGCCAGTCAAAACAAATTCTAACAGCTTTTCATTCTTAAGGTATACTGTAAAATACTTTACTTGTTTTGTATGGAATTTATTTTCACTGATTTCTGACGAGTTAAATGTGAAATATAGGAAAAAAGGTAAATTCACTGAATCATTCCTTCCAAGTGAAAAAGTATTCTACAGTATATCACAAAAAGTTCAACAACATTTTGAACTGACATGACAGGAATTTTAAATAAAAGACTACATTTGAAACGCTTGTATCTCTTGGCATTAATTCCTGTTAAATAAGTTGACGTTTAATTTAAAAAAAATCTATATATTACTTGTCGGTATCCAATTAGTCCTCTCCTTGAAATTTATTTGTGGAAAACCGTGATAGTTATTTCTTCATGGTGATATGATTTACTGCTGGTGAACCATTTCCTGGTGTACATTTGTTTTGCATTTCTTAAATTGTTCTCTACACTATTCAACACACGTACAAGCAGAGTTTATTTAATAACCAGTAGATGCACCACAAATGAAACCAGTTCCATATCATCATTCCCGGAACTTCTTGTCAAACCTGCTGTACTTGTAATCAGTCTATAACAACTTTGTTAATTCTCATCAAAATATTCAAGAGAATGTTTTATACAGTACAACTGCTGGAAATGAAGCATCAGTCCAAGTCTATGATGTGTTTACCAAGACGTCCTTGTCGGAATAGTCTTAGAATGTAGTTTGCAGACGCATCTAAATTAGGTCTTAATTCTCGGGAACCTAGGGAGACAAAAATATAGCTGGTTAACTCTTTGAATCCCAAAGTCACTGTTCATAAAAAAGAAAACTTCTCTCAGGACTAGGAAATTGTCATTTGGTCCAAAATTAATGAAGAAATAATACACAAAATTGTTCTTGCACAACTCTTTGCAGTTTTAGCACAACATTTGTTGCTGTAATGAAAAGTATGTGAATTGTAGATCAGTTTTGTACAATGCAGTCTTCTAAATTGTTGCTATGGAGAGCAGTGCAGCGCCACCAAGTGGCATGATTATTAGTGACCCAGTTTTTAGTTTTCAATTACTGTGGAATACTTTATTTTTGCTGGAATTAATTTTCGCTGAAAAGGCTTTTTGGGCATTTTGTATGGAATTTTTTGTCACTCATTTTTGATGAGTTTAATGTGAAATATAGGAAAAAAAGGATATTCGCTGGATTTTATTTTCCCGGGATCATCCCTTCAGCGAAAATAAATTCTAAGCGAAAATAAAGTATTCTACAGTATAGTAAAATATATTGTAAAGATGGCAAACTTTGGTTAGAAATACGACTAGAGATCAATTATTGATAATACTTGGTTGTACTAAGTTACAAACAAAATTAACTTCAGTGGCTGAGTATGATTTAAAAATGGATACATGTTTGTTTTTCAGATCAATTGTGATACATGTATGCATTTTTTTGAATTGTTATTTCATGGCATGAAGTGACCCAACTCCATCTGGTACCAATGCAATGCCATTACATACCTACTTGATGCCGTCACTTAACAATCTGTTTGGTACACATTTGATGCCATGTACTGACCACATAACCATTATGTACCAAATCAGTGCCATCTGGTACAAACCAAAATGCCATCATGTACCAACCCAATGTCATCTGGTACAAACCAAAATGTCATCTGGTACTAACCCGATACCATCATGTACCAACTCAATGCCATCTGGTACCAACCAAAATGCCATCATGAACCAAATCAATGCCATCTGGTACCAACCAAAATGCCATCATATACCAAATCAATGCCATCTGGTACCAACCAAAATGCCATCATGCACCAACTCAATGCCATCTGGTACCAACCAAAACGCCATCTGGTACCAACCAAAACGCCATCATGTACCAACTCAATGCCATCTGGTATCAACCAAAACGCCATCATGGACCAACTCAATGCCATCTGGTACAAACCAAAATGCCATCTGGTACCAACTCAATGCCATCTGGTACCAACCAAAATGCCATCATATACCAAATCAATGCCATATGGTACCAACCAAAATGCCATCATGCACCAACTCAATGCCATCTGGTACCAACCAAAACGCCATCTGGTACCAACCAAAACGCCATCTGGTACCAACCAAAACGCCATCATGTACCAACTCAATGCCATCTGGTATCAACCAA